AGATTCCTCTCTTCATGAAGACCCCTGACTATCCATGGGTTCCTGCATCTCTTAGGAAATTACCTTCTTTGCTCTCCTGGTAAGGCTGCTGGGAACTCCGTAAACAAGGTGTCAGGTTGATATTTCCAAGGGGTCTTTATTGGCCCCATAAAGTCAATGTTAGTCCCTTATAGCTGTCATCATATCTGAGTCTATGCAGCTCTTCCTCAGCTATGACATTCTAGTCAAAGCCTTGGTTATATAACCAGTGTTTTCAATTGTGTCTCCTCCCAATGAAAAGATTCTTATTGAAATTGCAAATACATATATTGGCTAAAATATAAGAGTTACTCCGACTTTCTGGATTCTGGAATAATCAGGTAGGGAGAAAAGATAAATATTTCAATTTGTTTACAAGGGTATATTTTATGCCCTGGTGCAAGTCAGTTAGGAGAAAAGTCTACTTGGGGCACCTGGGTGGCTTGGATGGTTGAGCATCTGCTTTCGGCTCAGGTCATGATCTCGGGGTCCTGGGATCAAGTCTGGCATCAGGCTCCCTGCTCAGTGGGGAGCCTGCTTCTCCCTCTCCATCTGCCCCTCCCCCTGCTTGTGCTTTTACTGGCTCTCAAATGAATAAATAAAATCTTTTAAAAAAAAGTTTTCTTAAATCTGTAAAAAACAAAACATTTAAAAGGATTTTTTTCAATTCCAGTTAGTTAATATACAATGTAATATGAGTTCCAGGTGTACAATAGTGACTCAACAATTCCCTGCAACACCCAGTGCTCAAAACAAATGCACTCCTTGATGCCCGTCATTTATTTCACCCATCCCCCAACCGACCTCCACTCTGGTAACCATCAGTTTCTTCTCTATACGTAGGGTCTGTTTCATGATCTGCCTGTCTTCTATTTTTCTCTTGGCTTGTTTCTTATATTCCACATATGAGTGAAAATACATGGTGTTTCTCTTTGACTTCTTTCGCTTAGCATAATACTCTCCAGCTCCATCCATGTCATTGCAAACGGCAAGATTAAATTCCTTTTTATGGCGGAGCAATATTCCATTACCCCACCCACCCACACATACACACAATGTCTTCTTCCTTCATTGATCAGTGAATACTTGGGCCTGAATGTTTGAACAGAAATGCTCACCACCACTGACTGTTGAACTGCTCCTCCGAGAAATCCATGGCACAGAGCCAGAGAATGGGACTATACCCACAATGGGGTGACTGAAGGGAAGAAGGTCCTGCAGAGCAGTGCATCAACTTTCACGCAATGCCACCCATCTATGGTGGATCTAAACTTGATTGGGGTTACACACCTGGGATACCAGCGCTTGGGTGCACCCACAGCACATGCCTTGCTGATCCTGCCTACGCCACTCTCTAAAAGGCTTCTTCATCTCTCAAACCTACTTTACCATGGAGTATTTTTTTTTTTTTAAGGATTTTGTTTATTTGAGATAGAGAGAGAGCATGAGAGGGGGGAGGGTCGAGGGAGAAGCAGACTCCCCCGCTAAGCAGGGAGCCCGATGCGGGACTCGATCCCGGGACTCCAGGATCATGACCTGAGCCGAAGGCAGTCGCCTAACCGACTGAGCCACCCAGGCGCCCCATCTTTGTTTTTCTTTTTGATAAAGATTTTATTTATTTATTTGAGAGAGAATGAGATAGAGAGCATGAGAGGGGGGAGGGTCAGAGGGAGAAGCAGACTCCCCGCCGAGCAGGGAGCCTGATGCGGGACTCGATCCCGGGACTCCAGGATCATGACCTGAGCCGAAGGCAGTCGCTTAACCGACTGAGCCACCCAGGCGCCCCTACCATGGGATATTTTTTTTTATAGACTTTTAATTAATTAATTTATCAGAGAGAGAGCACAAGCAGGGGAAGCGGCAGGCAGAGCAGGCAGAGGGAGAAGCAGGCTCCGCGCTGAGAGAAGAGCTCAATGCGGGATTCGATCCCAGGACCCTGGGATCATGACCTGAGCTGAAGGCAGACGCTGGACTGAGCCACCCAGGCGTCCCCACCATGTGATATTTTAAAGCTACGCCCAAATGATTACATCATCCAATATCCTTCCTCCATCAATTACCACTGATCTAGAAATGGGCAAACAACAGTCATCGTCGTCATCCAAAAGAATCTGGTCCTCAGTAACACCTAGGAATTCAATTAAATCATGAAAACACAGAAGCCCCCTACACTTCAGAAACCCACATTTGCCAATTCCTTATGTCCATTATATTTATTCATCAGAAGACAACACCAAGAGCTTCCTTTGCCTTTGCAGTGGCTAGAGGGGAACCACCTCTGTCTGGTTCCCTCCCCGCATTGGAAAGAGTTCTTCACATTTTTCTTTTTTTAAGATTTTATTTATTTGAGAGAAAGAGAGACTGCATATGTGGGGGAGACAGGCCAAGAAAGAGAGAAGCAGACTCCTCGCTGAGCAGGGAGTCCGACGTGGGGTTCAATCCCAGGACCCTGGGATCATGACCCGAGTGGAAGGCAGACGGTTAACCAACTGAGCCGCCCAGGCGCCCCTCACATTTTCTTTTAATAGATCTTATCTTTCTAAGGATGGTGCCATCATTGTGTTTTACAACCCAGTGTTAAATGTCTGAATACCCATTGGCCTTCCATTTCTCTAATCTCAATTCAGTGTTTACTTAGGAAACTCTAGCCACAGCACAAGCGAAGAAGAATGTTTGTGATGCCTAAATAGCTGGAAACAAAACTGAGGATAGAACTGGAGATCTGGAGATAACTAGGAAAAGAAGTAGAAGTTATTTTTCTAAATCCAAGGAGTCAGTTGTGCAACCCAGGAAAGGTATCCTCTCTCCATATGCAGAATTCATGCCAATTCTTCATCGTCTGTATTTTCTACCTCTTACTTGAGGCTACAGTATCACTCCTATTGGAATGTTTCTCCTACTTATAGGGTATCTATTACACACCGAGCATTAGTAAGAGTGTATGCTTACTTCATAGAAAAATCAAAACAACACCCCTACGTATGAAGTGGGGCACATACCTTTATTTGGGGCCATGGTACAGTGCTTTAACATCCCAAGACTAAGTCCAGATTGAGTCATTCAAACTTAAAACAGGTTTAGGTAAGCTCTGTGGGGGTCTGTCTTCTCTACAGGACACATGAGGGAAAGTCAAGGTAGTCAGGCGACATGTTTGCTCATGAGGGTGGACTGGTGATGTGAACAGAAGTGACTCCGCAGAGTGTTGTCTAGAGAACACACTAGTGAGAAGGGCAGGTGTCAGTTCAAAGCCCCTGCAAAAATACTGCCTACACCAAGGGGATGCCAAGTAGCATTAATATGGAGTACTTGTCAATAAGACCCCCATATAATCTGTAAAATGTCCATGATAATATCCCACTATTTCCTAAGAGAAGAAAATGATACAATAGATAAACTAGGGTAAAAATAATCACACATTATTTAAACTTTAAGGACAATGAAAAAATGGATGACTAGGTATATTATTCAACTCCATTACCAAATATGTGATAGATTCCATCAGTTACCTACAACCTTTAGATAGGTTAACATTGGTGGTAGGATAACACTTCATTCATTACTCATCCATGGTAATACATTAAAAATCAATTATTGTTTTATTAAGACCACACATGAACTAAGTTATGAATTTCAAATGCACTCCGATCCTTATTCAAAATACAGAATCCAAATGTTAAAAAGCACTCATATGCGGATATAATGATGTGGAAGTAGTGATTTCCATAATTTTCAGGCATGAGGTCATTCTTAAAAAATTGGTATATAATTTGTGTATATATAATTATATACCATTTTAGGGAAGAATTAGCTATCTTCTAATATCTGTGAAGATTTCTTCATTTCAACCACATCAACTGACATTCTCTACTTGTAACAATAGCTTTATAAGGATACATCAGTATTTTACTGTTCTGCCACCTCTTTTTCCTCAATAACCAGATGGTAAAATATTTTATTTATAATATCCAGGAAGTTCTTTAGCTTTAATAAAAGAAGAATGTTGTTCTGAACACCTCTTTCATGATAACTGACATTAATGTTATAACCGCAAACAGCATCTCCATTTAGATTTTCTTCATATATTGTATATTATATTGCCCTTCTTCTTCCATGGACAATTAGATATGCGAGTCCCAACAAATGAAGAAGGGCATCTCATATCTTTGATACAGCAACAATTAGCCACATACTTTCACACACCCACTAGGAATAAATGAATTTCATGAAATGATCTGAGAGTACAAATACATTAATATTTGCTAGTCACAAATCCCAGATAGGATCAATGAAAAAAAAAACCACATATTGAAATTAATTATACTTATGTAAAAATCCATCCACTTAAACCTTTGAAGCATAACAGCACATACACTAAGTGTTTAACTTTATATTATTCCTTATAAGGAATATTTTTATGTAACATCTGAATAGATTAATTCCTATACTGCCTTCTACTTGATTTCTGTGATATTGACATTTGATGTTCACTTACATACATTTCTAAATATTTACATCTTTCAAGTTACTTTCATTTATGTATTCTCTGGTGTTTGCTACAGTGAATATTTAAAATGAAGGTCTTTCCTCATTCATTATGTTTCTAGGGTTTGAATCTAGGATGCATTTTGGGATACTGAGTATAGACTGAATTCCAGTTAAGGGCACTGCAACTTTGTCTGCATTTTACAGTTTCTATCCTGTATGATAACTATGATGTTGAGCAATTTGTGAATTCCAGCTAGAGGCTTGCGACACTCCTTATATTGTAATCTTTCTCCTCAGTATATGTGCTGCCGAAGCGAGCACTCTTTCTCCTCAGTATAAACTCTGAGATACAGAAAAGGGTTGAGCAGTTTAAAAGTTTCCCATGTTCTTTACATTTGTAACTTTTTCCCCAGTATGAATTCTGTGATGTTGAATGAGGCTTGACCTCTTATTAAAGGCAATGCCAAATTCTTTGTATTTGCAAAATCCAGTCCAGCATACATTCTCTGATCAGGAATCAGGGTTTAACATTGCTTAAAGGCCTTGCCACATTCTTAACAACTTTATGGTTCCTCTCCACTATGAATTCTCTGATGTGGAGTAAGGGGTGAGTAGTCTTTAAATGTTTTCTCACATTCTTTTACATTTGTAATGTTTGTTCCACTATGAATTCTGTGGTAATGAGTAAAGGTTGAACAGTGATTAAACGCCTTCCCACATTCTTTACTTAGGTATGGTTTCCATCATCAAGTATGAGTTCTGTGATGTTGACGCAGGTGTGAGTGCTGGATAAAGGCATGGCCACATTCCTTACATATGTAAGGTCTCTCTCCAGTATGAATTCTGTGATGTCGAGTCAGGTGTGAGTGCCGGTTAAAGGCCTTTCCACATTCTTTGCATACGAAAGGTCTCTCTCCAGTATGAATTCTGTGATGTTCGGTAAGCTTTGAGTGCTGGTTAAAGGCCTTGCCACATTCTTTACATTGGTAAGGTCTCTCTCCAGTATGAATTCTGTGATGTCGAATAAGGTATGAGTGCCGGTTAAAGGCCTTGCCACATTCTTTACATATGTAAGGTTTCTCTCCAGTATGAATTCTGTGATGTTGAGTAAGGTTTGAATGCAGGTTAAAG